GGGGGTTGGTGGTTGACGTTCGTCTCTCTCTGACTCTCTCTCACTGGGAGGGGTCCAGGACCCGGCCTATGAAGAGCGGGAAGCCGAGCTCATCGTCCCACAGGAAGAAAAGGAAGGGCTGTTGGACCTCAAACATGACCACGTTGCGTGCCACCGACAACGCGGTGATGGCAGCTGCCTCCACGCCGTCTTCATCCAGGGTGAGCGCTGCCTGGTGTTCAGCCCCGGAGATCTCCAACAGGTCCGAGCTCATGCCACACAAGTTGGGCATCACAAGGACATCCTGCAACCCTACACACACACACACACACACACAGAGAGAGAGAGAGAGACACAGAGTGATTGTAACGCCGCTTCCAAACAAAACAGAGCCTTGCAACGCCCTCCAAATCCACAGGGTCTCCCGTGCACTTCCCCCCTGACACCCTCCAACCCTCAGAATCACAGCCTACAGCAATCCAGCAACGCGCCAGGATCAGTTACCAAACTGGTACCATCGCCGATTTAAATGTACAGACCAACGACGGTAGAGAGCAGCACTGAGAGAGACCCCAACCCACCACCACCACCCCCACCCTCCTAACCCCATCAGAAACTGCGTACAGTCCTGTCCCCCTCTGTGGCTCTGAGGAAGGGTCACCGGTCCCCAAAACATTAACTGATTTTTATCTTTTTTTTTCTAGACGCTGCCAGACCTGCTGAGTTTTCTCCTGTAATTTCTCCTTCTGTTCCGTTCTGTCTCCCAGCGACGGGAAACTTCAAAGGGTTGAGAAAACCAGGGTTGGAGGGTTTGAATCGAATCAGAGATAGTAGGAACTGCAGATGCTGGAGAACAAGGTGCAGGGCTGGATGAACACAGCAGGCCAAGCAGCATCATAGGAGCAGACGACAAGGGAGAGGCTGGGGCTATTTTCCCTGGAGCGTCGGAGGCTGAGGGGGTGACCTTATGGAGGTTTATAATGAGAGGCATGGATAGGGTGAATAGACAGGGGAGGGGAGTCCAAAACTAGGTTTAAGGTGACAGGGGAAATATTTAAAAAGGAATCGAAGGGGTACTTTTACACGTAGCGTGTGTGGAACGAGCTGCCAGAGGAAGGGGTGG